TTGGACAAATGAGAGACAGGAACTAAACAACACAGAGCCTGATTTTGTTGTCTAGCAAAAAGTAGATCCCCTAGTTTGAGGGAATTCCTGATTTCTGGTCCCAGATAAAGAAAGTCATTATGTATTTTGCATTGGACAGTCACTGGAAAAAGGACCAGGCAGCTAAGGAGCACTTAGCAGGGGTCAGTCCCACTCAGTCTACTTCCACTCAGGTGCAGAGATCCCAGAAAATGAGCTTTGTCTTGTGGGGGAAAAAAAAAATCTTTTTTCTCAGTAACCTGATTTTTCCTCAAAAATCATTTTCAATAAGCTGTACTGACTGCCCATTGCCTTAAATATCTTTTGTTGTTGTTGTTGAGAAAATAGTATTGGAAAAGATCCTATGATCCTTTTGGAAAGAGTATGGCTGCTTTACCTTTCACTTGAAGACCAACAAAGGACAGTTAGGGAAGGACGTCTGTCCTGCTACTCCTCAAAGAGCCTAGGTCAAGTAAAAAACTTACTTAAGGTCTGCAAGAGAGGGGTTTGTTTGGACCCAGCATGTACCAACTACTCTGTATTAAGATGGTTTTCAAACCTAATTGTCAATACGCTCCAAAAATCTTCTACTGTGGTTCCCTGTGGCCAGGCAGGAGAATCCTGGCGCTACAACGAGGGCCAGAGCAGGAGCACAAACCTTGACCTGCTGCCAGCCGTACTCTGGGTACGGCCAAGGCCAACTGCATTCTCCCAGACTTATGCCTGGTGATGGTTCAGGGGTTAGCACAGGGCCAAGTCCGTTCCCAACGGGCAGCTTGGATGCAGCCACCCTATTTTAAGAACAAATGTTTAGCTCAATGGAGGCAAATCATGCCCCAGCCCCAGGGCCAGAGAACCATCCTTCATCTACTTTATTTACTAGTAAAGATGTAGCCAGGGAGACTACTGTCCTAAATATACCTAGTCAGCCTCAGTATGCCTTATTATTAGTTAGTATTACTACCTGCCACTTTCATTAATAGAACATTGATTTCAACAGGATTTTTTGCAATAACAAAATGAATGGAATTTGACCTAATATGAATATTTACATGGGAGTTCCCACACAAGCTGCTTTTGTTTTACAAAGCCACACTCAGTGCAGCTCCAGTATTGCTTTCTCTGTTGTTTATTTCTCTCTCAGTTCAGTCTTGTCCTCCACATTTTCCAGTTGTCATATTGAAATATTTTGGCAGAATTCACATGCCTATCAAGGTTTGGCCTGGCTCATGTCACTTAACCACACATATACGCCTGTATACACTTTAGCATTACAATAACAGAAACTTAACACACTGTAAATAAACCCTATTGTTTTTACCAATGTGCAAGCCTATTATCATTAGCCTTAACTTCACAGAGGGTGAACATGTTCTAACTTATACAGCATGATTTTTCCATTCTCCCGCTGATTTCTCTCAATATTTTATTTTAAACTCTTTGTAGCTGAACACAGGCCAAATTTGGATACGTCAGCTGCTTACACAAAAATAATCTACTCAACCCCAACTGTGCACCCCATTAGCCAAATTGCACAAGAACTGGAAAATGAAGGTGGCCGTATGCTAAATTTTTAGTAAGAATCTCAGATCAAAAGGAGCCCATTGTGCCTTGCCACTCTGCTGCTCAGGGAGCACAGTTCCTCTTAAAGGAAAACTGACTGGATCTGGTTGGGTCAGGAGAGAGAGGTACAGTCTCACACCAAAAAGGGGAGAGCTGGGATCTGGCCAAGCAGACACCAAAAGATACAGATTCAAAGGCTGTATTGCTACAAGAGGGCCATTCAGGTGGCCTGATCCCCTCTCCTGCCCTTAGCTACAGTAGATCTGTGAAAAGATTCAGTTATGCGGTGTCATGAAGTAATCTGTGAAATGGTTTGTTTCTCTAACTGCCACAATCCTGTGCTTTCTTTTTTATGTTGTCGCACTTTTGCTTTAGCTTTGTACCTGCTATAGCTATCTATTGATTAGGGAGCTTTATTTCTCAAGATCCTTCTTCCCACTTTGGTATTTTGGGTTATAATTAGGTCACTTCTTTTAGCTTCTCTTGGACAAATGTAACAGGTTGAATTTCCTTGGCTATATCACTGGGAAATAAATTACCTTTTATAGTTACCTTTACCTTAAATGCAGTTATTCCTGCATTTCTTTCTGAGAGCTCTACAGGATGGTCTCACACTTTGCATGAATATGGAATGGGAGATAGAATACTCCATTCTAGCACTCGTTAGAATGAGTTAGAGGAAAAATAGACCAGTTACCACTTTTTGATATTCCCTGTTTTGGTTTCTAAGACTCAGATTGGCTCTCTAACCTGCAACATCATACTGGAGCATCATCCTCAGTTGGTCCTTTTCCGAGCCCTTCTCAGAGTCATTGTTAGCAAAGATATTCCTTCACTTCAGAATTCATAGTTTATCAACCATGCTATAGCAATTGTATATTTATTTTTCACAGTGAGCTGAAACAGTGATGAATTAAAATTTTCATAGCACCTAGTTTTATGTTACCATCACAATATAAAATAGTGCTAAAAAGGGTTCATTTTGCAAAGTGCTAAGTGCTCCAGTATCTTTGCACATGAATGTTTGAAAAAGGAGAAGAAATAATATTGTCATTTAAATAACTTCCAGTTAGGAGTTAGCACCTAGAAAAAAAAAAATAAAAGAACTTTTCTTTTAAGTCTTTCCTGCCAAGCGTATGAGTAAAACAACAGGCCTGCATTCAGACTCTGGCTCATGGGTATTCATTAAAACAAATAAAGCAATAGTAAAGACAGCATTACATAGCTTAAGGCCTGGTCTGGTATCAGATGAATAATAAATACATTAGTGTTGGCTGAGCAATGGCAGAATACATTTCTACATACCAGGAGATAATGAGCTCACTCAAGGAGCCTCACGCTTGCAAAGGGATTTCTGAAGAAATACATAGTAATATAATTGAGAATTTGTTATTGCTAATCCTAAGGCTTTGATTTTCTGTCCCCCACTTACCTTCTTCTCTGGATTGCCGCAGCATAGCATGTGTTGCAGTAAATACATGTAAGTGAGCTCAGTATAAGCAGAAGAGGGAAAAAACAGAAAACAGAGTGCCTGGAAAGAGGCACTACAGCCAGCTAAAACAATTGCTCAGTTGCCGTGTTACAACACAATGTGTTTAGGACTAGCAAGATATTTTAGTAACAATGATTTTTTTTCAAGGCTTTTTTTAAAGCTAAATCCTAGCCAACATATTTTAAACCTAATGGATGCCAAGTGACAAAATGTCTTCAGTCTTTTAGCACACACTCTTAGTAATCATAACAACATTTTTGTATTATTATAAGCGGTATTGGCAATCTGTTCAATTGTGCATGGAATAAATAGCCCACATTAGCAGTTAGTCTTAAAATTCATGTGATGGTAGCAGCCAGCTTAATTAAGTGCATCTCTCTGGGAAATCAGTAATAATAGTAATGAATGAACCTGCTGCTGACCTGCAGCAACAAGAGGTAGTTCAGAACATTTTTGAGTTCGAAACTACAGAACACCTACAGTGGCCTAGATCTTAATTACTCTGTAACATGGCCATTGGGAGAGGCAAAGAATACAACTGCAATTCATCTTAGTTTGATAATTTATCCTTTTCTTCCTTACCTGCCACAATGCATAATGTACATTTTTTTCTTTTCTCCAGGAAGAATCTTGGCGGGTTTATATGTCCCATGATCTTCTACTGGCATGTGACTTTCAACACAGCATTTCAACCAGATGAGGGGCTGCTGCTTGCAGAGGTATTTGAATTCTTCCACAAGACACCATAATGGTTTAGGAATAGTTTAAATTTTATGTCCAGTTAACCTGAAGCACGAAGTTTCCATTTGGATCGACAAACCAAAATGTGCATGTTCAGATCATACTAACCTAAAACAAAACTGAGAGGAAAAAAAAAGTAAAAGATCAAGATCTTTCCCAAGAGAATTGCCTCCAATTTTGCAAAAATTACTTCTCAATTAAAAAACAAAACAAAGAAGCTTTTCATTGGAAAAGTCCCAGCTAGCTCTAGTATTGACAGATTGCGACTTCTGAGAAAAAGCCAAAAACAAATGCAAAGACACAGGGCCTGGAAAACTTGCCTTGCAAGGAAAAATTGAAAAAGCTGAGGGCAAACATTTGACAAAGATGGAAAGAAAAATAAATATTTAAACATATTTGAACTGCATAAACATCAAGCACTGAGAGAATTTCTGTAGTTAGACATGTGCTGTCACAGAGTAGATTAATAAAACTTAGAATCATGGGGTGGACTTGCAAAAGAACAAGTCAGAGATGTGGAAGAGATTTTTATTGGTGGCATCTCTTTTATTGTTAGTAGTAGAGCAATGGAAAAGGTAAAATAGTGCTCTATATTAGTGTTTGGGAGTTAGGGACAGAGACAGAAAACAAACTAAACAAATGGAAATACTGAAGAAATATATGAGATATATACTAAATACTATTGAGTATAAGAATTTTATAGGAAGTGGATATAGGATGTCCTATATCCACATCAGCAAGGAAATGTGCTGAACAACCTAACAGGACATTTTCTGAGTCTTAACTTCTATAATTCCCTAGCGATCAGCATATAAGGAAATTGAACACAGTACACAGGACACCACAGACAGAAGTAAGAAAAAGGCATTGCTGGCAGGCAGCGAGCTACCAATGGAGAGAATTATTTAAATAAAAACATTGAATCCTTTAAATAAAGTCCTAGAAAAAGATATAGGCAATAGCTAAGACTAGCAAAGTAAACAAGGAAGGCAAGGGGGGAAAAACACCTACCAGTGCTACATCGCATGACTAGTCGTCTTCTGCCATTTGAGCAGTTCTAAATGGTTCAGCCAGAAACCAAACGTACACCACAGAGTAGAAACCTGGAGGCAACCACTTCCTTTCCCTTCTATTTCTCCTAATCAGTTAGTAGGAGTGTTACATCTCACCTAGGCCAAGCAGTCAAATGAAGAACTGCAAGATAAGAAAAAGTATGCTATACCCAAAGTCTATGAGATGATGACTAGTCATGGAACACATTAACAATACCAATTGATAGTCAACAATAATTTCTATTTTCAAGGAGGGGGAAAAAAAGAATTTTATATTTAGAAAGAATTAAAAACATCACTAAGAACCCAAACATCCAAATTAATATCTCAGAAGATGCTCTATGTGCTACTTTCTTGAATTAAGTTTTTCTCTCCAACCCAGAGTGAAAAGTTTAGCATAACTGACTGTGCAAAGCTTGCCTGAAAATATAAATAGAAAAATTCTAGAAACCACAAATAATAATGAACCATAAAGAGAAAGACTGATATCACTATGTGCTTTTGCATCAGATGTCCAAACTGAAATAAGGTAAAGTCACTGGCTAATGAAAAGGCTTTAAAATGTACAGGAAGCCATAAAGGATCAGAAGGGTCACTGTCTCAAAGTCAACAAGGATAAGTTTGAATATTTCCACTATTCCAGAGAGAGTATTCCTAGCATTTTCTTCAAAATGATTGTTGCCTACACTCGCTGAAGGAAAACATAAGGGAGAGGATTACCAGCAAGGGTAATGGAGCAAAAAATATTGAGATGTGGGTTCAGCGGAGTCTTCCATAGGGTTGCTGCAATATGTTGGATGCTTCATTGCTGATCTGAATATAGTAGTAAAGCTGCCCCATAACTGTGCCATGGCACTAAAACAGAAAAATAAATCTTTCCATACACTCATCATGTTAGCTTTGCTTCAGATTAGGTCTCTGAGCATTATTGTTTTAGGGCCAGACCACAGTACTCATGCAATCTATACATAATCTGGCTGCCTAGAGTTAAGAAAAAACAGAGCTGGATTTCATTTTTGTCAGTCTTGAGAGTGCTTTAAAAAGTTTCTATAAAAAGTGAAATAAAACTAACTGAACCTTCTCCATCTCCATATTCGCCCCAAGGTGCTGAGGAGAGGGGAGGATCCTTGGGGAATTACAATGCAAATCTGCCCTGCTCTGTTTCGGGGTCCTTATCCCAGCCCTGTGGCCAGCAGCACAAATAGTACCTTGTTCTTAGCAGCGACGGCTGAATTCTCCTGCCATTTGGTGACACCAGTTCAGGAGAAAAGAAAGGGGAGGGGGAAGGGGAGAAGTCCTGCAGTTTCCATCAGTCAGACAGACAGCAAATTGAGGAAGGAGCAGAAGTTGTTTAGGACTGTCTAGCAAGTGACAACTGTTTGATTGGCAGAAAGCCATGATGAGCATGCTGTGCCTTTAAAATAGGTGCCTATCTGCCTCCTGGAATATATTCAAATCAGGTTGCACAAAAAGCTGTTCCAACTACTTACAAGCTACTTAGAGTAATTAAAAACAGAGCTGCCTTTGTCTCTCAGAAGCTGTAGAGAACAAAAAACAAGCAGAACAAAACAAAAAAAAAATCAATGGTCAGGGTCAGTTCTAAGGTGTTATCTTCCTCTTCTGCATCTAAAAGGTACCTTTACATTCACAGGGTGATACAAAGTCACTTCTCTGCAAACCCTGATGAGATGGACTGCAGGAGGTGAGGGTTCTTCCAAATATAGGAGTATTTTGCGTACTTTGGATTGTAAAACACACACAGGAAAAGATTAGCAGAGCTGTGAGCAGGCAGGGTCAGGAGTAAGTGGGCAAACTATTATGCTCCAGCCTCCTGCTCATCTTGCCTTTTCCCTCACATTTGGCTATGTTGGCCAAAAATATCATATACCCAGAGATCCAATTTATGAGTGCTCCTGGGACCTTAGCAGTGTGGGGCCCAAATACACAGCCAGGAAGAATTGGCAATAACTGCATGGTGCACGTCATACACCCTTAGACTACAATGTGCACTAGGAACTTCTGGATACACTTAACGCATGAAGGTTGCCTCAGCCTACCTCTGGTGCTCCACAATGGTGTGTATGTGTGGAAGAAAGAGCGTAAATGAATTTACTTAAGGGTGTTCTGTCCCAGTCTGCTTTGCTTGCAAATATGCGCTTTATTTGTATGTCTAGATTTGAACGAGGACAAAACAGCAACATCCCTTTCAAAAGGAAGCACTCACTCTTGGCTCTCTAAAAAGTGGGGCTCTCAGATGGCTACCATTGTGCTTTACTTCCAGATCTCACCAGTAAGTGCCAAAAAGGATAGACAAGGCTAAATATATATTTAGACAACTGAACACTAACTTTAATATAATTTAGAAAACACAGAAAGATCTACTGTACAGTATATTAAAGAACATTAGTATAACTAACACTCCTACTAAGAGCTCCACTATGGTTCCCTTCATTCTGTAAGAACTGCGAAACAGGACATGCATTGTAGGCAAAGTACCCCTATCATATGCTTCCAATGTAAAAGACAAAAGCTGTACCTGTAATTAACATTTTGTGGCCGTTACAGAGAATGTAAATTATGCAGACAGTCCTGCTACGAAATCTTTGGTCTTCTCAACAGTTCCCACATTACAGGAAATAGGTTAGAAATTTCCTCAATATAGCAAAGCACGGTATTTGTACATAGTAATTTTCAGCTAAGTTAGCACATTGGGACTTTTTGACTGTGAGCAAACATGTTCATAGAAAGTGCTAAGGTCTATTCAATAATAAATGAATTTTATGTATTTGATAGAAAGCATCGCGGAATATGCATGCAGTGAGATCTTTGGAGTACTCGATATGATAGGGGTTGCCGAAGGCAGTAGCCGGAAAAAGGCAAGGCTGCCGCAGCTCTGCTCCCCCCAGTCCAACCCACAGCGAGACGGAGCCCATATCCCCAAAGGGGAACACACACAAAACACACATATACACTACACAAATAACACATGGCCAGCCACACGGGTCAGCATGGACAGAAACGCTCAGCAAACGCGCACAGCCTTGGCCCCAGAGACACCTCGCGCACCTACCTTCCATATCCACCAGCAATCGCAGGCAGATATACGCACCCTCACCTGCTCCAGCTGCCAGCACCTACCCGCGCTCCCGCACACACATGCATACAGAATAGAGGTTCCCTCACCCAGGAAAATCAGTGATTTATCATTTTGCTATTCCATCTATTAACAAATAGCGGAGGATTAACCCAGTGTTCAGGTAAGGAGGCTACCCATTCTTTGCAAAGTTAGCTAAAATTCCTTATACCAAAATAGTTTCAACTGGAAAATGGGCTTAATCAAAATGGAAAATTTTTGTAATTAAGATGAAAGTGTTCTTTCTTGCGTTCATATTGCCTCCCCTAGTGTCTCTCACCCCTTGGTTGACTGAAAGCTCTCAGTCTTCAACCTTTCTTCCAGTGTATTAAAAAAATAACACTTCTATTTCCACTACTTTATATTGGGGGTATTTTTTTCTCTACAATTTCTGTTGATTTTATGCCATAAAATAACATTATTTTATTCTGGTGCATTAAAAAAATAACAGTTTTCCCCACCAAAACTTTTTGGGAAAATGCAAACTATATTAAATATTTTTTAATCTAGAGTGGCACATACTTTTGCAAATTTCATATTTAGGTAAAGAGTTTACTAAAAGTGGCTCTAGGTGTTTGTAACATAGTCAAATATCAATATATTGATGTTTGATATCAATATATATCAAAGCAACCTACAAAATTTCAAGCCAGCTTTTATTGTATATATTTTTAAAAGCCAGTGGAAATTTCATAGTAGAAATACTACTTTTAAATTTGATTAGAAAACACCTTTTAAAAGGCACAACATTTTACTAATATTCTACTAGATTGTTCGTTGTATAGCCACAGTGTCATTTATTCTGAATGTTTTTAAAACAGTTCCAATTGCCAACAGTCACTAAAATTGCCTTTATTCAATGATAAAGGCTATTCATTTTATTAAATATTATTTTCAGAGCATGTCTAAGCCATTTATTAAAAAAGGAAAATTTTTATAATATAGAATACATATGTGCATATGTTTGCAGTAATCTGTGGTGCTTTCTAATATAACTGTCATGTCCTGTAAATGCATTGTAAATTACTTGTAAGATGTTTAAGTCACCACAGTACTGACAGCATGGTTTTAAACATGTCATTGTCTCCTTATAACTTTTATACAAAATCTCTAAGATTTGTTACAACCAAAGAAACAGAAACTAAGCATGTAGAATGTCCTAGAGTATATGGGAAGGAAAGATAGACTAGAAAAGGCTGTATATAACATATTATAGAATCTGAAAGACTCAGATGATTGTTATTGCTGAAAAGGGGCATTGTATTGTCTACGCTCATTCTGCTTATGGGGTCATCTCATAGGGGCTGATCCACATGGTTTGCATACCTTGAGGTTATACAAACCTCATTTTATTCACATAACGAGGAGTGTTGCATATATTCCCAAGTATAGCAGGACATGATTCAAATTCCCTGGAGAAATTTAAAAAAATCATACTGGAAAATAATCAACTAATATCTTAGAAGAAAAATAACCCATAGCATAAAAACACAGAGAGGAAATAAGGAAAAGAGCAAATAGAGCATGAATTTGCAATGCCCCAAACTCTGATGACGGGCCAGCACACTTTAGATCTCCAGATACAGGACATCACATCATGATCCTGATGAAGATCAATCTGCTGCGATATGCTGAGTGCAAGGCATTTCTCTAACAGAAATATATCAACTGGCATATTGGAAAGAATTCTGATAAAGGCAAGAAAAATGCAAGTGATTTTATCCACCAGTTCAAACTCATCTACACTCTCTACACTGATGAGCCATAGAGCTCCCTTTCTGCTCCAAGCTTGTCGTCTCCTTTGCAGGCTAAACTCTGGGCCAGTCTCTCTGACATGTCCTCACGGGTGTTTAGCTGTCAGCACAGGTGTCAGCTGAAGCTCAGGATGGTTAAAATTGTGCTGTTATTCCTCCTCCCCTACTTGGTTTCTCAGTCGCTGTAGGCAATGCCATTATTCTGCTTGTCACTCAGGCTTGTAGTACAGGTATCATCTTAACAGAGCAGTCTGA